TTCATTATTTTCGTATAGTTTCGATCATTATTTCACATCGAAAAAAAAGAAAAAGAAAAATGTAATTTTCATGGCAATCAAAAAACTTTTTTTCTTTCTTCTCATTTCTTTTTTTCTTTTTTATAACCAATACTAAGTAAACAAAATACTCATCTTACAATGTTTACGATAAACACTTCACGGGATATTATGCTAAATTAAAAAAAAAAAAAGAAAAAAGAAATTTCGCGCAATAAAAATTTTTCGAAAATTTATTACTTTAATTAGGATCATGAAATCAACCAATCAATAATTCCTATCTTTAAGCATTATATTATAAAAAAAGAAAAAAAAATTCAAAAGTAAAAGGAAAAAGACTCTTGTAAGAGTATTATTATTATTGAAATAAAAAAGAGAACCTGAAATGAACAGGTACCCTTTGATATTAACCGTACACATTGTGCACCCTCTATCATAGCAGCTGCTTTAATTTCCTTCCTGGCATGTCGTGATTCCAAATAATCCCGGAATATTTCAACTATATTCATTGTTAATGGCAATACCAGGGCACCATCTTTTCGCCTAAAATACTATGATGTAAAAAGAAAAAACAACCTGAAATTAAGCCTAAACAAATTTCAAATTTAAATATGAAATAGTAATTAATTAATAGATTTATCGCTTTTTTCTTTTGCTTAAATAGTATATTCCATTTAATTTTATTATGAAAATTTATAGTTTATACATATGTTACTAACAATTATATCTTCAATTTTTTTTTTTGAATTTCGCTGAATTTTGCAACACTTTACGAAAAATACGGAATAAAACTTATATTTAATCGATTAATTCATTATTCGAATTAAATTTTAGAGATTAAATTATAGCATAGTTAACCTCCTGATTGATATGGTTACCAAACCAGATAGCACTGAAATGACACTATATGTACCATGATAATTCATTTCTTCAATGATAATTGAAGCTTCCGTTTTGTAGTGAGGTGGTACCACAACGGTACTATCAACAGCCCATGACATCATTTCTGATTTTGTATTTTCATTCACATTATTGAAATTCATTTCACGCTTGAAACCTGCTTTCAGTTCAGCTATTTCACCTAAATTATAAATATAACAATTATCAAATTTAATACAATAAATTATGATTTCTTGGCTAAGTATTAAAATTTGAATTCAAATTAATTAATTGAATTTTTAATTCCTTTCTTCAAAATTTTCAATTCATTTATTTAATGGAATAAACCATATCACTAGCTGATTCATCAATATAGCAATTTCTAAATCTCTCATAGCTATTTGCTCTTTGAGTTCAAAATTTCTTAGCTATACAACAACGAGGTCATTTCCTTGTTTCCCCATAATAATAGGTGAAACAAGCCAACTATGGGTATTATTATTTGTGGAAAATTCATATAAACAATGAATTGGATTAAAAATTAGCTTATTTAATTGTTAGAAATGCATTTTTTTTTTTTTACAAATCAAAAACTCATAACATTATTTTTAATTTTACACAACTTCATAATCATGGGACTAATGAACTGGAAAGTTCATTTATCACATCATTTTACCTGTCTAACTAATTTTGCATACAATTAAAAATGTTTACTTTATTTTGCTAATTTACAAATTCATTTATTTCCCATTTCTTTAGTTATTTAATAATTACATTACAACTATTTGAAATTTTTCCATCGAATTTAGGCAATAAACAATAAACGAATTATTAGTTGTTTGATATTATTGTTTATTAGCTTTGTATTTTTTATTTTTTTTTTTTGTTTTTTTGTAGGCTATCATTTTCTTGTCTTACTTACCATTTCTTTTATTTGTTAAAAACAAAAAAAAATGGAATAATTCTTCATGCTTTAATAAGCAATTGCATGTATGCCAACTTACTTTTCATTCATTGTCCAATCAATCATTGAGTAATACTAGCCTAAGCCATATTTAACATTACATGCCAATGGAAAGGAAAATATAAGCCAGAAAAGGGATAAATGCAAAAGTAAGGAGGCCAAGCACTTTTTTGTTGCCATAAATCACAGACATAATGATTTAACTGCCATTTTTCAAATTGGGTCGGCAAATAAACGAATGTTAGAAGACAAAAAAAAAAAAAAGAAGAATGTAAAAATGAGAAATTGTATTTTTTGGTTATCAATGAAAAATTTCATCGATTTTAAGCTTCTTCTTTTCATGATGAGAATAAAAGTTAATTATTAAATGCAAATTTTTCAATTATTATCATTTTCAGAAAAAGGTATGGATTTGGTACGTTTCCAAAATAATCATTATCAAACTCAAACGATACACTTTTGTGAATCCTTTTAAATCGTTGTAATCCTTCATGAAATATCCTTTCAATTATTTTGAATCATTGTGAATCTTTTATGAATTCATTTTAATTGTTCTGAATCTTTTTAAATCGTCGCGAATCCTACATGAAACCTTCCAATTGTTGTGAATCCTTCATAAAATCCTTTTAATTACTGAGAATCCTTTTGTATCGTTGCAAATCCTTCTCAGTTATCCATTTGAATCATTGTGAATCCTTCATGAAATATCCTTTCAATTGTTATGAATCCTTTTGAGTCGTCGTGAATCCATCATGAAATCCTTCCAATTGTTGTGAATCCTTTATAAAACCCTTTCAATTGTTGAGAATCCTTTTATATCGTTGTAAATCCTTCCCAGTTATCCTTTTGAATCATTGTGAATCCTTCATGAAATATCCTTTCAATTGTTGTGAATCCCTTTGAATCGTCGCGAATCTGACAGAAAACCTTCTCAGTTATTGTGAATCCTTTTGGATCGTTGTAGTCTTTCATGAAATCCTTCCAATTATTGTGAATCCTTTTGAATCATCGCGAATTCTTCATGAAATCCTTACGATCATTGTAAATCTCTATGATAACCTTTTCGTAACCTAAAATTTTCTTCTGATTAAACCAAATACAGGAATATTAATAACATCAGCGTTTATTGTTTCAACTTTTACCATTCGTTTGTAGTCTACAGGAAGATCGTTGACCAAGAACTACTATCGTTTAGTTGACAAATTTCCGCGAATCAGTGGGAAGCCTCGTGAGAAAACTTCGTAATATTTGCTCCACTTTCCTTCTTCTCCTCTTTTCAAATTATCCCCTTTTTGGTTGCATTATTTTTATAATGAAAAATTTTATCGCTAACTCTCAACCTGAAGAGAAGCGGGGTAAAAGGTCAATGGGAATGCTATGAAAATTATAAGCTTCTTAAATTAATGTCATTTTTCATTTTTGGTCTTTTTTCCTTTTGCTTCCACTCATTTATTTCCCTTTTCTTGTCTTAAACTTCTTGAACTACCTCTAATCCTCTTCTTAAAGAGGTAACCTCGTTTGTTGTCCTTTGTTGTCATCAAAATTTCTGAAAAGGAATCATTAAGGGAAAATGTTGACCGAAAATTATATCCTTTAGTTGATAAATTTCCGCGAACCAGCGGGAAGCCTCGTGAGAAAATTCTTAATATTTGCTCTATTTTCCTTCTTCTTCTCTTTTCAAATTATCCTCCTTTTTGATTGTATTATTTTAATGAATTCACATAACAGGTAGAGGCTTTCTTACCTTTACATTGCTACACAAACATTCTCCCATATGAAATAATAAATCAAATTTCTTTTCAAAGAAATTAAAGTTAAAAAAAAGAAAAATTTTCCTCTAAATTTACTTCAGACAATCATTTATGCTTTTAATTTTAATCCATGAACTATAAAAATATCGAATAAATGAGAATAAATTTGTTCAATTTCTTCAAATTTTAATTTCGTTTCAAATTTCATTCGTTCGTTTCTATTTTCTTATTGCATTTCGATTTTTTCTTTTTTTTTAACAATTTACAATATTTTAACAAGAAAAAATTCGAATTTAGGCATAATTTTCAACTTGAAATTTACGGATGAATTTTAAATTTTTTGAAATGCACAAGTTTATCCGTAAACAAAAATATCAAATTTTATGAAATTTTTGGAAAAACGAATTAAAATTTTATAAAATATTTGATTTCAATGCAAAGAATTGCTTCGATCTGTTTTCAAAATTAAATTTACTTTACAATTCTAATGACGTGCATATGTTTAAGGGAAAAATTGAATGAATGAGAATAGCATGATCAATAAAAAAAAATACTGGATAAGCTTATAAACAAAAATATCGGATAAGCTTATAAACAAAAATACCGGATAAGCTTATAAACAAAATACCGGACAAGTTTATAAACAAAAATACCGGATGAGCTTATAAGCAAAAATACCGGAGATTGTTTGTTGATAAAAAAATAATGTAAAATTAAATTGAAGAAAAAAAAATGCATACCGGATAAGATAGGTTAATAAAATGTATGATAGGTTAAAAATTGATCAAAAATCGAAGAAATGGGTTTTAAGTTAAATATCCAGCAAATATCACTTTTTTTTTTTTGTTTGAAAATTATATGA